CGGACTCCTCTCAAGCCATTCAAGCTTATTCGATGGATCCCTCCCAACCCCTTCCATTTCAAGCTCAACGTTGATGGTAGTGCAAACCCTCGGGGTTGCGGCGGTGGAGCTGTTTTAAGAGATCACCAAGGCAACTTTCTTCATGCTTTAGCTTTTCCCTTACCTAGAACTTCACCACTATCCACAGAAGCCCTTGCAATGATGCAAGCCCTCCGTTATTACTCCTTCCCAAACATGGTCGTTGAAACCGACAGCATAGAACTCCTACACATGTTACGTGATGTCCCAACGTCGAATGCTCTCTTATTCATCAAGGAGAAGATAGAAACTCTCAATCTACGTCTCTCCCACACCCTCAGAGAAGCCAATGGTGCGGCGGATATATATATATATATATATATATATATATATATATATATATATATATATATATATATATATATGTTGTTCCCCCTGATAAGACCTACTGGAAAGACAATCACAAAAGCCTGGGTCCTATTAACTGATAGTTCCTGCTATGATGATGGTCCAAGAGGAAATAGATATTTAGGTGTTGTACTTGGGGATGTGCCCCCCTCCTTTTGGATTTTCCTTTTGTATTGGCATTGTTGTTTTTGCTTTGGCCTTTTGTCGGGATTGGCCACCCCCACCCTGTACTCTTTTCCTTTTCAATAAGATCTTAATTTAAAATAAAAAATAAAAAAAAATATATGTTGTTCCCCCCTGTAGAGATGGTCACAGGGTTGATTGGCGAACCACACCACCCGGGTTCGATCCCTAGAAGATGCAAATCCTTTAATATAATATTTGAGAGTTGATAGCCTAGAATTCTGACACGTGGCAAGTTAGGGCTCTTATTTTGACGACACGTCGGATTACACGCGTCTCATTATTGGCGAAGCTCTCCTTCGTCCTTCCAGTACCCGGCCCGTTCTTTCTCCCACGACTCCTTCGCGCAGAAAGAAGAAAAAATCTTGGAAATCTTCATGCTGAAAAGGAAACAAATCTTCTCGCTGCCTTGAGTTCTCGCTGCCTTCGGTCACCGATGGAAAGAAATCACAGGTACTCCGCTACTCCTTTCCATTTTCTTCTTCGCTACCCCAACTTTTCCCTAATTTTTACCTGAAATTAGGGTTCATATATATCAATCTGCTTTCTTCAATTGATTGAAAGAATTAAAATCGTAATTCATTCCTAATTCATAATCGTATACCCTAATTAGATTTGAGAAATCATATACCTAATTTATATTCTATTAATAGATGTATTTTTTCTTCCTATAATTCTATCTATATATACATTCTCCTCAAGAACAACCCAGAATTCCTGACTTACGCATACTATTTTCTGAGATTCTGAGATTCATATTCCTTTTCGTTTTTTTCGTTCAATCCGTGACAATGACCATCCATCCACTGTCGAAGATCACTCCAAGCAGTGAATGTTGGAGGATCATGGTTCGTGTCGTACGATTGTATACCTTACCCGCTTATAATGATGAGAGGACTACAAATTCCATTGAAATGGTGTTCATGGATGAACATGTATGTCACCTTCTCTTGATTCATCATATTCCTTCTCATTTTTTTGTTATACATTATATTAGTTCTATAATTATATATATGTTTTTCCGTGTGGTATTACTGGCATATTTTTAGTGTGGTTCTATTTGTTTTTTATGAATTATAAACCTGGCATATGAAAGCAGTTTCGCTTTTTTTGTTAGTGGCATTATTGGCATATTCTTAATGTGGCATATTGTTAGTGTGGCTACTTTTCCAAACCTGATATTTCACTTCTAGGACCTCAGCATGTTATATCATCAGCAATTTACTTGCATTCATTTGAAGTACTCTGTATATGATATTGACAAATTGTGCACTGGAAGAAAATTTAGTTGTATTTTATAAATATTGAAACCTTAACATGTAGTTTGTATTGTTCTTTCACTTCTTTTTATATACAGAGTTCTCCTTGAACATCAAATGTAGATTTATTCTTTAAAAAAACTCCAAACTATTTATAAAGTACTAAAATCATTTAGTTGCTTAACATGTTAAAAAGAACAGTGCATATCAACTCATGAAGTACTATTATAAAGAAAGAAAAACAACCACCATTAAATTAGCAGAAATTAGTGATATACAATTGACATAGAGTGACATGATAGCAGAACAATGGCTTATGTAGGCTACTGTTTGTGGCTTTCTTGTGCCAAAGTAATTAAAAATTGCATTTGATGGGTTGTAGAAATTTGGTTTACCTTCCTTTTAAAATTT